GTTTCATAACAATATTTTAGGTCTATTCCTCTCACAAATTATACAAAGCAACAATATTTACTGAGTGTAGTAATGATATTTATATTGAGAATGTCTATATCCATCAACATCCTTATGTTCATAAAAGAAATCAGTTTGAAAAGTTTGTTTAGCTGAGATCATTGCGAAACATTTGCTTAAAAGCCAGAAACTTCATAGAGCTTATCAGGGTGTGGTTTATAGGCCTGGTTTTAAGGAAATAATGAAAGGTTTCCATTTTAAAGAGCCTTCTCTGAAAGCATCTCTCCTGGAAGGAGCACCATGTATTCTGTGCTCCGATTGCTTGGCCCCATAAAGAACACGGCAGCTTCATTTTGAACCAATGTGAACTTCCAAACTGTCTTTAACAGCAGCCTGATGTGGAACATGTTACAGTAGCTTAATCTGTATGAAGCCAGAGCACACGAATAACCATGGTCAGGTCTGCTTTCGCAACATAGGGTCCCAGGTGGCAAATGAATCTGATAAAAGGAACTCCTGAAAATGGATGCCAGCTATCATAGGCTGATCCAGATCCAGGAAGACCCCCCCAAACTGCTAACTTGGGGGACTGTCATCCCATCCAGGACTGATCACATACCTCCATCTAGATAAACTGGTTTCCTCACCCACAATGTCGTCATTTTATCCAGATTAAGATTTGGCTTCTTTGCCATCATCCGAGAGGTGAGGAGAGCAAATGTTGGGGATAACTGTATGGCAGAACCCTCAAACTGGTAGTGTTTGATTGATGCAGCAGTTGAGGTTTTCTATTTGTGAACAGAATTATTTGAAAAAGGCCTCTGAGAATTCAGCCTACTCACTAGTAATGTGAAGGAAGGGAAATGTTATGTGAGGAAGGGAAAGAGAGTCCCATTTCTTGATCCCGAAGAGCAGATGTCTGCAGAAAATTCAACCCCTACCCCGAATTCATTGGACTTCAGTTGCATCCTGCATGTCAGTTCATTCAGTATCAACTCCTTGTTTCATGTAATAGCCCAGGATGCTTTTGTGCATGTAGCTTTCGCGTGCTGCAGCACTGCATCATGCTATGTGGTATTACCGTATTTTTTGCTCTATAAGGCGCACCTAGTTTTTGGAGGAGAAAACAAGAAAAAAAATATTCTGAATCTCAGAACCCAGAACAGCAAGAGGGATCGCTGTGCAGTGAAAGCAGCAATCCCTCTTGCTGTTCTGGCTTCTGGGATAGCTGCGCAGCCTGTATTCGCTCCATAAGACACACACACATTTCCCCTTACTTTTTAGGAGGGAAAAAGTGAGTCTTATAGAGCAAAAAATACGGTAATTGTTCTCTTGCACGTATGTCCTGTTCACAAGACTTCAGATGTTTAGCTGTGAACAGGTTAAAACACCCATAAACTGATGTGCGGAAAGCACGACAAATTTCAGGAAAGCTGCTAGAATTTCTATATCAAGACTTGGCAAGAATGGAAACTCTGCATCAATCTTGATGATTCCTCAAAGGCTATGAGCTGTGACTTAGTCACATGGGTGTGAATGCACAGAGGCCTCTTTTCAACGATCCCATTTGCAGGTAAAAGCAAGCAATTTCTTTTCCTGGACAACCTTTAGAAACTGATTTTGTGGAAATTTTACTCTGAGATATATATAGATTATTATGGCAAGCAGAATTGCCTCCGTAAATATTGTAAGAATGATGTTTGCTGTATTAAATGGACCCTATAGCTTCTATAAAGTGACCAAATGGGAGGGGGAGGAAGATTAACTTTTTCAGTGTCGGAATGACATGTTATCACAGAACAGCAAGAGAGAAAATTTATGTCATCATCACCACTGAATAATGCTTTTTAAAATAAAGATAACCACAATTCCTTGGGAACTATGGATGTATTGAAAGTGTTGTGTACATTTCTTGGAGCCCTAAATCAAAGTCACATATGTACCATACATTTAAAGTACTCTTGTACCACAGTACCCACGACCCACCCCCATGAATCCTGGGAAATGTAGTTCATTTAAGTGTGCTGAGAGTTGTTAGGAGGCTCCTCAAAAAGCTACAATTCCCAGCACTTTTAACAAACCCAACGAAAGTTCCTTTCTACTCCATGCTGGTTATTTGGATTCCTTCTGGCAACTGAATAGTTTTTCTTCCTGTGCTAATTTCACCTCTCTCTTTTTTTGGCTTTAACAGGGAATTATTATTTTTTGTAAAACGCTTTTCCTAATAAGCTTCATCTTCACTGCTTAAAATATTTCACCCTCCTAATAAATCATTGTCCCATGTTCTTTGCAACCACTAACCCTATTAGGTTTTTACTAGGACCTGGTTCAAATATATTATTTATCATTCTTAGGTTGCATTAGTTCCCATGTAGAGCTAGTCACATTAACTGCAGTGTGAAGGAAGCAGTTCTGACATGGAGAAAGTATGCTGACAGAGACAGCTTCCTGTGGGCAATTAAAGGGGTTTTTTTTTGGGGGGGGTAATCTCACCCACCACGCACTTGCAAAATTGCAGTTCAGTATTTAGGATGAACACATGCCATGCATGTTCATGCCAGGCCAGATTATTTAATCCACAGCCATACTCTGAGAGTTGCTTTTGAGCACATTTGAACCAGACCAAACATTCCTTGACTCACCCTGCTCTCCCATTCCACATGGGGTTTGTCCCAGGTTTGCGTTAAGCCAGTGCCACATCCACAGGACAGAAGGAGGGGAACGCGGCAGGGGTCCTTTCACTGTGCCTGTTTCCAGACCTAGGCCAGTCTCAATAACATCACATGATAACAGTATGGTTGGTTAATTATCCAGCAGACCCTGTGCTATTTCTGCCTCTTGTGCCTCGTCCTGTTCTAGGGATTTCTGCTGGCTGCTTGCTGTTTGGAAAGGCGCACTGGAGCACTGATTTCTAGCAGGGCTTCCTGCTCTACCTCCACCCCCATCCAACCCCTAATCAAGCATGGTGGATCCAGGTTTGGATTGCTCTGTAAATGTGATAGGACTGCAGCAACAGGCAATTATGAACATCTTCAAGTTACTGTACTTTCGTTTCTCTAATGGATACTAATCTGTGTGCTGGATCTGCTGCATTCACTACCACACTTGATGTACAATTTCAGCTTCTGGCAGCCATCATCACTTCCGCGAACGCATGTTGTTGGTGTGCCACAGGGGAGAAATAAAACTCCTGGTACTTGTAACTTTTGTCTTGATTTGCAGGGATATTTCTTCTCCTGAGATGTAGAAGAATTCCTCCCTACCAGTATTTATACATAATTCCAATATGTGCAAAGGGTTAGGTTAACTCCCCAAGAAAGCTAATGTGTTCTAAGTGTGAGTGAAAATTTAATGCTCCTTACTTCTTTTACCGTATAATAGAGTGATGCTTGAATTCTGATCTGAAGTAATGCCATGGCGTTTCAAGTCAGCATAAGAGCAACTACGAGCTGTCTGAGCAAAAGGGAAGGGAGAATTAATACTGTGGCTTCAATCCTTGGATATGATTGACAGTATATGATACGAAATAATAGCCTTTCAAAGGCCATGCATTTTAGCTTCTCAAAGGAATTGTGAAGTTACTGCATAGCAGGTCAAGGTCTTCAAGTAGCATAATTATCAGAGAAGTGCCAATCCAAAATCGTTTTCCATTTTAAAAAATGTGCTAATTTATAGGTGAAGTTGATGGTGGCTTTTCTTCTTCTTTTTTGAGAGCTGAAAGAATGTATTTTACAAAAAAAAAGTGCTTAGAATATAATGATACACAATTTTGACATGTTTTTCATTTCAAATACAGCAGCATTTTAAAGAAATGGTCATTTGAATTTAATTCTTTGAGTTGTGTATTAGCCTGGTTTTGATTTGCGTATGCTGTGTCAGGCAGAGAGTGACAAAAATATAGATGGAAATGAAAAGTGAAAAATGGTATGTTACAATCCATTGGATACTTACTTAAAAGTAACTTGCACTAAATCAGTGTGACAATTCCAAAGAAAAGTGTTTGTGGACAATTGGACGTTGGTGTGAAAATACTGCTTCTGGTTTGAAATACCGCTACTGGTTTGTACCTTATCTATATTTATAAATCTGATATGATTTGTTTGTTGGCCATTAATAAAAGTCAATGGGTGGAATGCAATGTAGTGCAAGGAAGTGTCCCCTTGAACACACAGGGCTTTTGTTTTGTTTTCTCCCCTGAAACTGCCACCCATGTGCCCCAAAATCTGTTCCAGAGGGTTGGGGGACCCTGTGGAGCAATTTTGTTGTGGGGCTGCAAGGGGGAAGGAAAGAAGTTTACATTCTGCTATGCAAGCAGATTTCCATTCTACAGGGGAGTGGACATTATTGAATGCCACCAATTAAATGAAATTAAAGCTGGCCTGTATTGAGAAAACCTTAAATAAACCTTATTTTAAACTTTCCTTTCAAATTTACTAAACCAAAATGTATGTCACCATTTTTGTCCATTTGATGCATTAAAAAAATCCTTGATTAAAAGAAATCACTGAAAGGTATTTTGGACCTTTGTATGGACATATGCATTTTTTTAAAATCCCAATAAAAAATTAAAAATCCATTGTGTGAGCAGATAATTACATCTGTATTCACATTAAAAGATGGATATTAAGGTGTATTTTGTATGCTGATTTCAGTCACCTACCAGACAACTTTATCAGAGAACTTCAAGGGTAGGTCAGCAAAGGCAGTTTGGCTGTAGTTTGTCTCTCAGAGTGTTTTATTTTGACTCCTGTGTCTTAGTGATGCATGAATAAAGAACCTGATGTGTGTCACCCATGAACACGGTTTTTGCTTACTGCATGGTTTTCACAGAAAACGCCAAAGTCTTGGTGGGCTTTGTTTGTCTTCCTTGTTTCCTAAGTTAACCTCATAAGCATTATCTGTTGCATGACCATGACCGATGACTGTCTCATTTTGTATTTGTCTTCCATATGTGATTAATATCCAAATGTTCTTTTTTTTTTCCTTTTCCCTTTTTGTAGAAATTATTGAGCCTACTACTACTAGTCCTGTCTCAAGCCCAGGTCAGTATCCACATACACCCCCAAAGTATGCTTGGGTACTCTCTCCCTCCCTCTGTCTTTCCAAGGAATGACAACATACATGTTGCTGTCATGCCAGTAGACACGCAGTTGATGTTGAGCAGTATTACTTCTATTACTGCTGAATTGTCTCTTTCCTGTCTTTGTGCACTCATCGTTTGTGCTGCTCTTTGGGCAAATGCTATTCTGCCTTGGTAGATTTCTTTTATGAAAGCGCTTCTCTGTTTCCCTCTGTCCCAAAGATCACACAGCAGATGCAGACAGCATTGGCTTAGTGGTGAAATGCCTTGTGCTTTTTATATTCTCTTTGTGGTATTATCTGTGCTAAATTGATTGTTGGCTGTTTTGCTGGAAGCAAGGCATTTGTGTGAGTTTTCTTTCCCCCCTGGCTCTTCCTTTGTGCATATTGTGTTGGAACATCTATGACCGAATGCAGGGCTGTGCTAATGATAGGGTACCTTTTTCTGTAAAGGTTGTTCACATAGCAAAGCTTCATGAGCTGAAGTAACACAAGATGAAGAATTTTATTAATTTTAACTTACAAGGTCAGATCTTCAGAGAGAAATGCAGATTTTCTATCTCCCAATTAATAAAAAAAGACAGAATCATTCCTTGGTCTTTGAGGGCTATTCTGTTATTTACTTCCTGTCATAATTTCACTGGACTAACACCTGCAGAGGTTACTTTAGATCTAAAAAACCCAAAAACCCTGATGGGTAGAATGGCTATATACCGTATTTTTTTCTCTATAAGACGCACTTTTTCCCTCCTAAAAAGTAAGGGGAAATATGTGTGCGTCTTATGGAGAGAATGCAGGCTCTGCGGCTATCCCAGAAGCCAGAACAGCAAGAGGAATCGCTGCTTTCACTGCTTCTGGCTTCTGGGATTCAGAATTTTTTTTTCTTGTTTTCCTCCTCCAAAAACTAGGTGCGTCTTATGGTCTGGTGCATCTTATAGAGCGAAAAATACGGTATATATATTTTCATACTACTTAAGGAATGTCTTTCTTTACCTATCCTCTAAAAAAATCAGAACTGTGGAAACAGGTTCTGCTGCCAAACCAGTGCATATTTCTACAAAACCATAGCAGTGTTTTGATACAGGCATTCTACAAATCTTCAGCAAAGACTTGGCCCACCCCTGGTAGCCACAATGCCGAGGGCAGATGCTGACACCAAAATTCTAGCTTCGCAAACTTTTGAAATATGGTAGTCTTTAGTGTGGAAATTTGCCCTGCTTTGAAGATGTATAGTTTGAACTATAAAGAATGAGAGTTCCCACTGCTTCTGTAGAAATTCTCATGTGTTTTCTGTGTCATTCATGCAGTGTCTGACACAGCTGTGCAACGAACTAATCTAGCAGTGTCTTGAAAGAAACACTTAAAAGTCGTGCTTAGGGTCTGTCTGGTAGTCTCACTTGCCACATAGCTGATAATATAGCTCACTAGAATTTGCTTTTTCTTTTCATTTTACCACAGTGTTATAAAAAAAAAGCTATGCTATAAAACTTAATACAACCTAAAGTACATTTATACCCAAGTTGTTAGTTGTTTGTTTGAACACATTCTTTCTTTAGAAAGCGATCCTCAATTGAAACATTTTGCAGGTTGAGAAGCATTGTGTTCTGGTGCACTTTTTCTATAGTTTTAACATTCCTCCCCATACCTACTCCTGAGCCTAAAACTTACAGTCAATCAGTAGATTTGTTGCTCAACCAAATATCATAACAAATCTGAACAGTATAGTATTGGCAGGTGGAGAGCCACAAACTCACACGGTGCCATCAGATAGATTATTCCCTCCTGAGCACTGTAAAGTATTGGTGGTTCACTGCAGAGGATTTTCCAAGTTGGTGGCCAATGGCCACATAAGCTACCCTCCTCTCTTCCCAGAAAGGCTACATTTTATGTCTGCTTTGTGAAAAACAGGCACATGCAAGTGGACGCTATTGAGAATTCTGAAGCTTTCCCCAGAAGCACAGGGCCATAATGGGAACATAGACATACATGCTAAGAAGCAAGGGTTGCTATTACCTTGCATGAAGATTTAGGTGGTATGCAGCAATGCTCCTTTCAGGACTAGAAATCCTGTGGGCCTGGGATCTTCAAACTCGTAATACTGTCTCTTTATTAGTATTCCGTAATACTTTGCTTCCCCATGGCTAGTTTTGTGCTGAGATTCCTTGGGAACTTCAATCTGCTGGGTAAGCCTTATCTAGAAGATTTATCTTCTAGATAAAGGCAGGATCCAGTGGCAATACCTGCTGTAGGGAGTATCCATTCATCTTACTGCTACCCGCCCAATGACTAATTGATCTTTCGCTGTAGCGAGAATGCATAAATATTGTCAAGCCTACTAACGTAACCCCCTATTGCTGATGGGGTTGCCAGAAACCACAGGGACCGTAAGCATAGCTGTAGTGCTTTGTAGCTTGCTTTTAGCTGTCTAAGAAAAATATTTACCCTTTACCCCGTTTGTATGTCCAAAATGAACCCCTGCCAGTTGGCAAAACAAGAAGTTTTCTTCTTCAGACCTTCAGTCAACTTGTGGATGCAGGACTGGTCCCACTCCAGATGATTGTAATTGAATGGCTTAATGCTTGAAGAAGCCCACAGATTGAACAAGAAGGAATGATGGATTCTTAATATGGTCCCCTTTTGATTTATTTCATTCATTTCTTCTACAAGTGTTCCACAGGCAGTGGGTGTCTTTGTGGCTTCATCTCTCCACCTTTGTTTTTGTTGTTGTTGTTGTTGTTGTTGTTGTTGTTGTTGTTGTACAGATTTATTGACTGCTTCACAGCATGAAGCCATCAAAGCAGTGCCAGTGTAGAAACAGAAAAAAACACAGAAGGTCCTTTTATTGGCTTCCTGGTTTTTGAGGAGATTGAATGAGTTTGGTTATTTTTGAACCCTTGATTTCTTTTTTTGTGTGGCATTTTCTTATTTTAAGCTGCTTTGGATGGGCCATTACACCCACAAAACAGCCCTGAAACATTTCATGGTGATGGTGATAGTAATCTGTTTGCTTCCCTATCACTCCCTCCCAAAATACCACGCACTACAATCCAGTAAGAAGTTAATAACAGATACGAATGGGCTTTAGTGTGTCTGACTTCATGCTGGATCGTGGCCAGTTTATTTCAACGTTAAACGAAATAGATATTGTATCATTTTGTTTTGTCTCACTGGTGATGTAAATTGCTTAGCTTTAATGTTCGAGTTCTTTCAACACTTTGAATGTACAACTAAAATGTAGCAATCTAGGGCTGTGTGTTTTTAATAGCTGTTTATTCCTTGTCAGCAAATGAAGTTGGAGAGCAAATAATGAAGATTTATGGAGTACTTTTGAAAATAGAAATGTTTATGGGTGGCCTATGTTACACTGTTTTAGGAGGCTTTCATGAGAAAGAAGGAATCGGTGATGACAGGGGAAAATTACAGCCTTAGAAATGAGTATAATGTGTTTAAAGAGCCTATCTTGGTCCCAGTTTTGATTCTGTTTTGCTGACATCATTGGCAGAACTTCCATTTCCCATTAGTTCATCATACCATACCCAACTACCTCTCAATGATGAACATTTCTTCTTGTCATGCTAGCTGCTAATTAGCCATTGTTCACTTTCAGTCAACATCAAAAATAATTGGAGAGGGATTTCCTTCACAAACCCTGAAAATATCATCTGGACAAAAACCATAAACATAAATGTTTGACATTTTGAGAGGCAGGCAGTACTGATCAATGTTGTTGCAACTGATGATGATTCAGAAATGCTGGCAGCAATGAAGAGAGAGAAAGGGAGAGACGACAACAAATGAACATTTTCTAGTGAACTTCAAGAATTGGCTTGAAATTCTACATGAAGATCATTGACTGACAGGCAAAATTAACTATGACTAAATGAAAAGCATTGCAAAACATGTATAATCTCCACTGAAGATAGTGTTGGGTGAAAGTTGATGCAGTGTGGAAATTTACAGCTTAAAAATGAAGATGAACATTTGCAAGCAAAGGACTGCAGAAGGCAGATTGTTTTATAGTAGATTGGCCAAGAGGAATTTATATAATTGGGGGAAATATTAATAGGAACTAGAGAACTGAACAAGGGGCCACAGCTCAGTGGTGAGTACATGATTTGCATACACAAAATCTCACGTTCAATCCCTAGCATCTCCAATTAACAGGATGTCAAGTTTCAGAGCTGTGACTACTTGCATAACCTTGGAGGACTGTTTGCCAGTTGAAAAAGGCAGTTGGTCTCACTCCACATAAAAGCAGCTTAATATGCTCATAGGTTCACTATGCCAGCTATATTCAAGAAATGAAAAAACACCATGTGATCAAGAGATTTGATCAGATGAGTCTCAAATGCAAGGACGGCATTTGAATAAATATTCATAATGTTGTTTCCTTGCATACGGAATGCATGTGATGTATTGATATACGGGTTTAAAAATCTATTAACCTATTTTATCAGATATTACTGTGAAAGGGTGGGCGGAACCCTCTGAAACTTCATATGTATGCTAATGGCATCTGAACTGGTAGCGACTGATCAGGACCAGAACTTGAAGTCACAGTGCCTAGCTCAATGAAGATGTCAGTTCAGTGTGTGGCAAACCCCCCCCCAAAAAAGGGTGAATTCCATGGAAATAAAACTGCCGATATCAAAATGCTGTTACGCAAATCTATGGTGCGACCTCAAAAAGGATACTAAGGAGCTGGAGAAGTTTCAGAAAAGGGCAAGCAAGATGATCAAGGGGCTTGATCAACTTCCCTGTGAGAAAAGGTTAAAACATTGGGGCTTTAAGGGGGGGGGAGGCCTATGGAATGATGCATGGAATGGAGAAAGTGGATAGAGATAAGGTTTTCTCCCGCTTTCATAACTGTAGAACCTGGAGCCACTGATGAAGCTTCATGTTGGAAGATGCAGGACTGCCTAAAGAAAGGTGCTTCTTCAAAGACCATGTAGTTAGAACAGGC